ATCGTCCACCTTGGCCAGCCTGTTGTTGAGGCTCGAGAAAACGAAGCCCTTGTGGGACGTTAATGATGTTTCCTCTCTTGTCTCCAAGGTTCTTGAGCTGCTCTGCGGTTTGAGGTCTGATGTTGAAGGCCTGTGCCAAGATTTGAGTGTCGAAGCCTGCGTACAAGCTCTGCTCAGGGTTTTGTGGGTTACTGCCGGCTAAGCGGAATGTCTACGAGGTTTCAACATAAATAGTTAATACTAAAAAATAAATAAAGTTTGAGAATAAAATTGAAGTGGTCTAGTGATTAAATCTTAAGAATCCATATCATGATAATTAGACTCTGACCCTTAGAATCCTGTCAAGCTGGTTGACCTGGTTGCCGACGTCAACCATGGCAACTAAAACGAGAGGAGAATTTCCGTCGTTGTAGTACCAGTGAGCCACGCCGGTTTGGAACACGAGGGCATCACCCTTTCGGATGCGTCGAATCTTCTGATGCATGTCTCTGAACACACGGCCCTGCTGACCTTGTTGGCCCTGCTGTCCTTGTTGGGCCTGCTGTCCTTGTTGGGCCTGCTGTCCTCGTTGGCCCGGTTGTCCAAATTGGCCTGGTTGTCCATATTGTCCTTGGCCAAATTCTTGAGATGACTGGTACGTTTCGGGACATCCTGAAATCACGGCTCCCGTGGCACCTCGACCTGAAATATTGACGACCCAAGTAGTGTCAGTAATATATTGTATAGTATATGAACAATGAGTGTATCTTTATATAGATATTGACGGAAGGAAGATGAAGAATGGTGTTGTATAGTTGAGTTTGACCTTGGACAACAAAGGCCATGATGGGGCCATTGCTATAAGTTGGCAGGTAAAGACCATTTTGTTGAATGGTAACACGGAGCATGGCCACACCAGCGCACTGGAGTTGAGGGCTTCTTGGGTCCCAGTACTCGATTAAACCAGCTTCAGACTGGACCCGGTTTGTGGGCTCAATGGTATTTAGCTGCTGGAGTTGGCACTCATTCGGGGTCTGCGACGTAAGCTGGCGTGCTAGACAGCCACTGACGAGCGCGAGAAAGGCAAGAGAAAGAAAGAGCAGGGAAGGCTTAGCCATTTTGAAATTGTGGGTGGCTCAGGCCTCAAGACTAATTTGTAGTAGGACTTAGGGCTTTTGAGATGATGGAAAGATGCAAAGAGGGAGTAGGTATTTATACAAGGGAAGAGAAAGAGTAGGAGTGACACGTAAGAGATCACGGTGGCAAGTTTCTCCAAGGCATTCTTCACTTTGCATGGCCACTTAATACTGGGTTTCTAACACCTCATAAAGCCAGGTTGGGCAGGTGTATAAACAGATAAAAGCCTTACATTAAACCATACATGCACAACTACGCTACAAACAATAAAAAGAAAAGCTCTCTGTCTGCATTCGATCAGGTGGGTATGCAAATCGAGGGAAAATTAACGTTATAATGGTTTCTTTAAATTACTAATTGGTAAAATATTTTTGGTTTATATGGGTATATAGGTTAATAAGTTATAGAATAGCCACCTAGTTTTGTATGCATACATGTGAGTGAGATATTTACAAGGAAGGGGATGATTGAGGAGGATGGGAAACAGGGAGAGGGTGTTAATGGAAGATGCCGTATGACGCGACGAGCTGCCATCGTTCGATACTTGGCGGTGTTGACAACTGGGCGGTTGCATGCTACATGTCCTGCCATCTGTCTTCTTTACACCACTCATCGTCTTAATGTCATTTATTTGATACTTCTACTGTTTTTATTTAAATCAATATTATTTAACGTTATAATGGTTTCTTTAAATTACTAATTGGTGAAATATTTTTGGCTAAAATAAAAAAGAATACTTCCATAACTATAAACAAAATGTGTAAGATTTTCGTTCAAGTATTTTTTTTTTCTTTCTAATCTTTCAAAAATGAGATAAAAATTTTTATTTATTTTTTTTTAAAATTTTCTTTAACATTATTCGAACGTACTACGTAATGTGGTAAATCACATATAGATCAAATTTTAATTTGTTGATATAGCATACGCGTAGATGTCACATGAACATTTTTAGCTCATATGGCTAAACGTGTTTTTTTCTGTTATTATGCGTAATATGTCAAGTAATGTGTACATCAACGCAATTTCTTCGAAATTTAGAAAAGTTTTGCCCCCACAAACATTTATACTAATTCTGGAATTACCAAGAAAATCTATTGTTTCATATACTGTGTGGTCCCATTTATAATTCATCCCAAGGAAAACAAATGGGGTATGTCGACTTTAATGAAAAGTTAGCATAAACACATTTAGCTTTTCTTACTAAAAGAATTGTAACACGGTTTGGTCGCACTTGTTGTTTGTAGTAAATAAAACAAATTATATAAATATTATTACTCAACGAGGACGCCATGACAACAAAGTTAAAAACTAATGTAATAGTGGTGTTGTACAAATCTATTACTATAACCAAAAGAAGTCTAGTATTTCGCGAGAGTACGCTAACAATAATTTTTAAGAAACCCACCAAGTAATCTTTATAGAACTTGCCTAAAAACATATACTTGAATTTAATTGGTCCAGATTTAATTTATACCCAATCAGAATTGAACACATTACATGTTTCATTTAATTCAAAGACATGCACTATTTTCTAAGAGTTTTTATAGAAACACCACTAGAGTCAACAGCTATTACGTTTACGATTATTAAGACTTCAATAATCCAGCTTCATCATTTTGATCCATGATGTCAACAAACCCCAGATTTCAGTTCAATGGGTCTTTCAAGTTTTCCCAATCTGCATCTTTTGCCTTCCTACAATCATCAAATCCACCCAAAAATTCCTAGGAGGAAATGGAACAACAGTATAGAACAGAGGCCGTACCTACAGTACATACATGGCATAAGCATGTTGATTAATTTGAATTTATAAATATCTTACTCTGACTTATGCAGTTCATGTTATAAATATCTTACTCTCACATGCATTTCATATTTCATGATGTTTACTGGCTCCAATTTTTCTTTTCATCTACATAATTTATTGGGAAATTTTTGCTGAATAATCCATATAATTCTCCCATATTTCCCACGACTCAATTAAAATCTTTTACTTCTGCAAGCAGATGGGATTGACTTTGGTATAAATATCAGTATTTCAGAAATTGGTGACTTACTTTCTTGAGAAAATACCATATCATGTATATATAATTAAAATACCTTTTATGACTCATTCACACTTCTTTAATATTATAAAGACGTAGAAAACCCATATGATGGATATTTGATCAGGACTCTGAACGAAGGCAAATCGAGGATTTTATTCAATGTACCAATTACTCAAGAAAGGGCAAAGAGACTCCTACATCTCCCGGTATTTTACGCAGATATAATTATCAGATGGTGATGTGTTTGACAAATCTTTCAATCTTACTGGCAAATGTCACCACTTGTCGTGAGCAACTAATAAATACATGGCTATGGTTCTTAATATCTACTATGCCGCCTATACAAAATAATTGAAGAAATTTGAATACAGTAATGGGTTCCCTTGAGAATACTCCTACATGGGCAGTTTCTATTGTTTGCTTCTTTTTTTTCCTCATTTCTTTCACCATTGATGCTGGACTTCACCATCTAACTCAGGTATCTAATAACTTCTGCATCTACATATGTGTTCCACGTGTGTGTCTTTTGTGGGATTGAGAGTTAATATCTTATGGATGTTTGTACTATAACCTTCAGTTTCTCAGAAGAAGAAAAAGAAAATCACTCAACCGGGCCTTAACAAGAATCAAAACAGGTTAGAATCTTGTAGTAACTAGTAATATGCTCTTAACGTGATTACTCTTCTGCAAAATATTATCTAAAGTCTTGTATAATCTACTTTAACAACTAATCAGAGCAGTTTTAACATATCTCTTAATCATTTGGCTTGCTATTTGCTTCAAATTTCAACACAGAAATGATGATACTGGGCTTTATATCATTGCTTCTCACTATATCAGACGTACCCATATCAAATATCTGCATACCTGAAGCCATGGCAAACTCCTTCCTACCCTGCAAAAATAATGGGGATTTTGTAGGACCAGACGCCTCATCTGCAACTCAATTTTCAGGAACGAAAAGCTCGAACGTGACTCTTTCTGCTGGTAACAATGATGAATCTTACTGCAAGTCAAAGGTGAGAAATCTTGTCAAGTTTTGGTTGAGAAAATTAAATGCTACTATGTCCAACAACTATAATGCAAGATTCAAGACAAGCAATGTGCCTGCTTTGTTTTGGTTGTTTGGGACACAGGAAATGTTATCGCTGGTGTCAAGGGAAGGAGTCATGGAGCTGAAGATCTTCGTCTCTTTTTTGGCAGTCTTCCATGTGATCTACTGTGTATTGACAATGGGTCTTGGGCAAGCCAAGGTACAAAAATTTGTTTCTCCTTTATTCATCAGTGTCTCAATAAGATATCACTATTAGTACCATGATCCATTCATTCAACTCCGTTGAATTCTTCTTCCCTGCTAAGATCTGTCTGATATTTTATCTTACCAAATGTTGACATCATGGTACGCTTCAACTGAAGAGTCATTCAGATAATTGATTTTATAATTCTGGCTTCTCTATTAATTAATTCCTCATATAAGTATGTTTAGGATAAATAAATATTGAAAATAACATTTTATTTGAGAAAAAAAAATGAAATCAACTTTTGTATTTGAAACAATCATAAACTTTTGATAAATTCAACTAATCAGCATATTTCAGTAACGTAAATTCATTTTATAAATTAATATTTACGAATTCTTATATTTCAAGTAAAATCACAAAAAATTTTGGTACTCAGGTAAACCACTATCTTTAACGAATAGAAATAAGGGAGCAAAAGAAATTGAAATCTTCTCTTTTTAATTCTAAGTTTTCAAATTTATTTCCAAGTTTCATAAAATTTGACATGATTCAAAATATACTAGACTATAGAGCATGTAGGATTCTTTCAAAATGAATTATCCTCCAACCAATTCTAAATATAAAAAACCTAATTTGCAATAAAAAATTTCTACTTTTTCTCATGGAATTCATTTTTTTCCCAAAATATAGGATTATAATCTAATCTAGTGTTGAGTTTAGTTCAAATTCCAACACTGTGTAACTAGAAAGAAATTTAATACAAATAGAACAAAATTTAATGAAAATAACACTCTTATTCCAATTCAATTTCATATTTAATTCAAGTTAGTTATTTTTGTAATCCTTCCGACAACAGATAGAAATATAAATACATAACTGTAGAATTTAAGATATAATAGAAGTTAGTTCGATTATGCATCAAATATATATCTTATAACTAAATTTCACATATTAAATAAATAAATCTAAAAATTAAATTGGAATAGAATAGGTTTGAATTGAATACAATATAATTGTCTTTATTGAGCCAATTTATGCTTAACGTAGAGGAACCTAAGAGTTTAACTGATAATCATTTGGAATAATCTGAACAGTTGGGCCAATTTATGCTTCAAGTTTCACCAGAGTTTTTTATAATCTTATTCTAACAGTCAAAGGCTAATTTATAATGTTCATTTTTCTTTTAACACTTGACCAAAAAGTTCAGACTAACCCACATGATAATCAGTTAAACTGTTAGGATCGTACATTCTTTAACTTGCCCTAATGAACAGGAAACAAACACACACTCTACTTAAAATTTCCAATTGTTTTATGCTGCCTCTTGAGTTATTTTTAACTTTTAAACATGAACAGATGAGCAGATGGAAAGCATGGGAGCATGAGACTAGTACGCTTGAATATCAGATTGCTAATGGTATTTATGTACTACCATAACAAAAATAAACCAGTGCAGCAAAGTCTTTAGGCATTTCTAGAGATTCAGACATTCAAGAATCATAACAATCTTGATGTATTTAGGGCTTACTTATTCTTGTGTGTACAAAATGTTATACATACAGATCCAAGGAGATTCCGGCTCCCCCACCAAACATCCTTTGGGCAAAAGCATTTGAAACTTTGGAGTAATAGTCGGCTTTTGCTTTGGCCAGTAAGTTTATTTCATCTTAATCATCTCCACCTGCAGTGATATAGGTTCCAATACCAAAAGAACATGAATTCTAGTTCTGTATAATTGCAGAGATGTATGGTTAAACGTGAAGAAAACTCATGGACAATAAAACATGGAGATTTGGTGCTTTCCCCACAGATTCTAATTAATTACAAAATCCAAGAGCAGTTTCAGAATAATTTGTACTTGCTCTATAATTGGAAGTTATAGCACAAGATCACTGTAAAATTTTCAAGCTTCTAGAATGGACAGAACAGAATTCAAAACAGTCTAAACAAAAGAAAGTATCCCTTAATAGAAACCTTTAATACCCTACAATTCTTGGGAACTAGTTTCTTTATTCTCTCTCAGGAAATCGTAGTGCGCAAGTGCATTTTCTACCAGCGATTATGACAAAAATTTCCACCAAGATTTATGACTCATATCATTAACCGTAAATCACCAAAGATACTCTCCTTCAGCCCGTCACTTGAATTTCTTGAAGCAGCTTCAAATTTATTGTGAATTTTTCATTTGCTGCTTGATTTAGGTTTGTTTTCTTCGTCAGTTCAGTGGCTCAGCCTCAAAAGCCGATTACTTCACTCTTCGCAATGGTTTCATTATGGTAAGCGAAAATGCTCTAGATTCTAACCAAGAAATGAACACAAACTATGGGGGGAAATAAATATTCTTATTTACGTGTGCCAAGAATATATGTTTTCCTTAATAGGTCTGCTCAAAACCTGAGTAAGGTCACCTAAAGTTCGTAAGGCCTCATCTATTGAATCATCCCAAACACGGTGCTATTATTTTGGAAATTGTGTTTAATCTTCTTGTGTGTTGAATAGGCCAATATAGCTGAAGGCAGTGATTTCAACTTCCAGAAATTCCTTGCGAGAGCTTTTGATGACGATTTTGAGCAGATTGTTAGTATCAGGTATAATTTCTCCTTTGTCGAAAACATAATAGGAGAACATTTAAGACATGGAAAAATGAACCAAAAAAATTTAAGATCAGACTAAAAAAATGTTTTAACATCCAACCTTGCAGGTTTTGGATCTGGACCTTCTGCATACTCTTCATCTTTTTCAGTGCACATGGTATGACATTTTGCTGCATCTAGATTTTGAAAAGCATGAATAAGGCTGACTTTGACTCTAGAAATATAACTCCGCTTTCACTTGCATAACTTTTTCCAAGTGCTTGACATATTAATAACATTAATATGATCCATTTGCAGAATTCTATAACTACTACTGGTTGCCTTTTATTCCTCTAGCGGTAACATCAATCATCTTTCTTATCCTCTTATCCTTTAAGTAAATACTTGAAGAACTAAGACGCTTACTCCAGTTTACTGTCATATTTTCTGCTGAAGATTGTTCTCATTGTGGGGACAAAGCTACAAGTTGTTATAACAAACATGTGCGTCAAGAGTTACAAGGTGAACTCCGTGATTTATGGAGCTTTCCCTGTCAAGCTGACGGATGATCTTTTCTGGTTTGGTCGACCTAAATGGCTTCTCTATCTCCTTCAGGTTGTCCTAATCCAGGTATTACATAACAGTTAAAATGCAACTTTGCATTGTAACTAGGCTTTAGTAATCTATTCTAAACAAGTAAAGCATCAAGCTGGTGTGTTTAAAGAGACAGACCATAGAATTGGAAACTAACTGTTATTCTGTAATTTAAAAAAAAAAAAAACCTAACTGTTATTTCATCTAACCATTCTTCCTTAAAAATCAAGAATTCTAGTGCTCATATTACCATTTTGATTATAGTATAATGTATCGGATAAGAATGCAGTTCTCCAACACCCCCACTTTCACTATAACAAAAGAAAAAAAAATAAAAGATAAGAAGATATATTATCAATAGATTTTCTCTTTTCTTCTGCAAAAAAAAAAAAAGCAGATATATTGGTAATGACAAGAACTTCAACTCTAAATATATCTTTCATTGATTTATCGATTCTTGGTAGGATTATGAACAAAATCTATTGAATTTGGCTGCAGAACTCTTTCCAGTTGGCTTTTTTCTTTTGGACATGGGTAGGTACCTTCAATTCGAAAACATGAGTATTTTGCATCCTTAGCTGACCTCCCTCAATAATGACAGTATAAGTATGGCCTTAGATCCTGCTACAATCAAGAAATTGAGGACATTATCATAAGGATTTCGACAGGCATTCTTGTACAAATCATTTGTGGTTATTGGACTCTGCCCCTTTATGCACTTGTTACTCAGGTAAAATACCCTTTTCAATTCTTCCTCCCAAAAGTTCAATTTCTTCTCGTGGAAATATACAACTATCTATAGGGGGTTAACAATTGAGATAGAGAGCCTACTTTTGGTGCATGATATATAGGCTATAGTATTAAAATGTTAAACCATGCTGCATAAAAATGAGTTGCAGAAAATCAATCATTTTAAGCAATCCAATTGACAGTTGATTGACGGAAGATTTGATATTCTGGCATTCAAGACAAGACATCTTGCAACTAACAAGTGTAATTGTAAATAATGTCTCATGAGTTTAACTTTTTTTCAATTTCAAATTTAATTTTGTTCATATGTCAGCGCAGATGGGCTCTGGCGTGAACAGGGCTGTGTTCACCAATCGTGTAGCAGAAGGCCTCAAACGTTGGCACTACAATGCAAGAAGGAACCTTTCTAAGCATAGATCAATTTCAAGTGAACATTCACCAAGGTCCATGCCTGCTACTGCTGACACTTCAGTTAGAGACATGCAGAAATCACAAGCTGAAGAACATTACCAGGTTCCTCCCGTGGAAGTCACAAGATCTACCACGTCAGAGATCACAGAGGAAGCAATGCAGAACAACAGTAATACTAACATACGACGACAAGCTTTCTACCTATGGCATTTCCTAAAGAAAAATTGAATCATAAGATTAGTTTTGGAGGATCCTATGATGGTGAGGTTTCTTTGGGAGCAGTTGGAAAATAATTGAAACTGGTAATAGTATTAGATATGACAATTCAATAATAGAAGAACATGGCTCTGATATATTGGCCGACTTTGATGAACAGGCAAATTAACAAAATGTTAGATCAATTTTGTCAAATCATTGTGTAAAGCATTCAAAATGAGCAGAGCATCACATAGTTTCTGGAGCAGTATTTCCCACATCTTTACAAGTGAAGGAATATAATCCTGCGGCATTTTTCAAATCGTTCATTATTTATAACGAGAAAAGTTCATCCTGTCAAGGAAATGACGATCCAAAGATCTGCATGTTCCATATTTGTATTTATGTGTCTGTCTGTGTGTATGTGTGGGGTCAGGATGTGGAAAAAAAAGTAAGCGACTACTTCCAAAGCTGATAATCGGTACTGGCACCATTCTTCTGCAAAGTTGATTAGCATTTCGATCTTTTCAGGCAAAAAGTAATTTGCAGGTTTAAGGTCACTGAAATATTTCAATTGACTAATGTCATTACATCATACACTAGTTAATCTCAATTTGTTGCATGAACTAATAAGAACATAACAAACAATCAATCGATTTTTACCAAGGAAGCAGCTTTAGACCTTTAACTCAATAAAGATAGCAAATACTTAAAATTCAAAATTACCAGTAGGTTCAAAAATGGGGACGAGGGTTTGTATAAAACCCAAAAGCAAAAATTCCTAGCAGCAGTTGGTTGATTCTCAAGCTGCATTGAAGAGTCTATATAGAAAATACGACAATAGAAAACAGAAATTCAAAGAGGAAAAATGTAGAGCAGCAAGTATGTCTCACACCTAATTGGTTAATCGCATGAACAACTTCCATTGTCATCTTCAATTAGTCGAGATCCCTATCCCGTTTCTGCAACCAAAAACGAGTAAACGCCAAATGCCTTGATGATCAAGTTAACTGTAAATATAGCCGTTGGATTAATTTTGGGAACGACACCGTTACGCGGTTCCGCAATACATTATACACGCCACCACATTCGATGATGCGACAACGTTTAGGGCCCGCCGTAAAAGAGAAAGGTGCTCTCTCTCTCTCTATATATATATATATTTTGAAAATAAGGTACTAAGTAATTTTTTTTTTTTTTTTTTTTTGTGTTTTTGGAAAATAAGGTGCTATAAATTCACTTTGTACGCACCTCTATAAGTATTCCTTTTATATATAAAAAAAATGAAAAATCAAAGGAAAGTAATTAGTTTAATTTTTAGTATTTTCATTTTATCTCTTTAAATTTAATATTGATATGCCTAAGAAAAAATATATTATTTTTATAAAAATTTTGTATAATTGCATAAAAATTATATATAGTGAATAAACTAACATAAATTTTTTAATTTAAATAATAAATTTTAAAGAAAAAAATTAAAACTTAATTATAACATATATAACAGACAATTTAAAACTAAAATTTAGATTGCTTTTAAAATTATATTTCCTATTTAAGGTATGGATAAAAATATAAGAAATTTTATATAAACCTTTTTTGTCTTAAAAAGAAATTCCAAAATATCTTATAAATTTGTATATTATTTGATTTTCTTTACCTAAATTATTGTACTTTTTTCTGTATATTTTAATATTATATTTTTAAATTCTTGCTTTATTAGTTCTTACTCTTAATTATCGTTTTAAAGATTGTTAACGAATGAACACATAACCAATGACATATCATAAACATGATACATAAGAAATAATATGGCGCATATCGTGATAACTATATCAAATTAAAATATTTAAAATATTATATGAGTTTTCTGAAAAAATTATTTATAAAAAATATTTTTATTAGTAAAAATTAAATTCAATAATATAATTATAAATATATGTATTAAAAATAATATATAAATAATAATTCTCTTATTTTCAAAAATTAATCACCATATTACTATTGTTTAGTACTTTTTGTTTTTTTTCTTGTTACTAGTTTACTTCATTCCTTATATTGATCAATAAAGAGTTAAACGCAAAAGTATCGTCTCATCAAATGGGCGACCACTCCTTGGATTACACAATCCAAACCACTTAAGCCTAGGGCTCAACCAACAAGCAATGCCAAGCACAGTTTTGTGTAGAGTAGTGCCAAGTGGCACAAGCATCACAATCGTAACCTTCATCTTCTATAAATTCCTAAACATTTCGTTTTTCTAAACATCCTTTGATAAATTCTAATATTCAAAACATACCATCTTATCTAAACTTTGTTTTTTTAATACAACTGCAATTTTATAGACTTGAAAAAAGTTATATTTAAAATTTTAATTAAGCATAAAATTATATAAATTAAAATTTTAGAGGTTTAAATGAAGAAAAAATTTAATTTTGTTGACATTTTATTAATAATAAGGACCTAAATAATAATATATACTAAAAATAAGGTCAAAATATAATTTAAAAAATGCGAGACACCTCGGCAGGTGAGGTGTCAAAATGAGTCAGGTCATTCGTCCATGTGTGTATGCATGTTGCGAGATCTGAAAACGTACGGCCCAAATCTATCTTGCAGATCTGACGGCTCCCAAAAGTCGATATAAGAGCTTCATTTTCAGCTCTTGGAGAGGAAAGAAGAACCCTAGCTGTCAGGGAAGCCCAAGCAGCATCGAGGTAAAGAGAGAGGAAAGAGGGGAGGAGCCTTCATCATGTGAGGTGGATGAGTGCGCGGCAATCGCGAAGGTGGAAGACGAGGCAAAAAGGGAGACGTCGTGGGAAGAAAAGATAGAGAAAGGGAGAGGCGTGCGATAGGAAAATGAAGAGAGAGAATAAGAGATCATCAGGCGGAGCGAAGGTGGAAGACGAGGCAAAAAGGGAGATATCGTGGGAAGAAGAGATAGAGAGAGAGAGAGAGAGAGGCGTGCGGCAGGAAAAAGAAGAGAGAGAATAGGAGATCGCCAGGCGGAAGAAGAAGAAGGAGAAGAAGAAGGAGAAAGAGAAGAAGAATAAGAAGAATAAGAAAAAGAGAAGAGAAAAGAAATGAGGCGTGATGGCCATGGTGCGCGGTCTACGACCGAGGGTTAGTGAAGCTAATAGAGGAAGTAGATTTGAACAACCAGCCGGATATGCAGCGATCCTGTGGAGGAGAGAAGTGTGTAACGTGTGCAGCCAGAAAGAAGGAACTTCACGTGCAGCGATTTCACAGAACAAAGGAATCTGATGCGGTGACAATGGTGGACACAGTGGAGGAGAGAGGAAACAACCATGGGGAAGAAGAAGGAAGAAAAAAAAGAAAAAAAAAGAAAAAAAAAAGGCAAAAAACATAGATGAAAAAGAAAAAAAAAAGAGAAGGAAAAAAATAGACAGGGCATGGCTTGATCTACTGTTGGTGCGCACAAAGGCGCATACTAATCACGATGGCACGTGCAGTAGTGCGTAATTATTCCGGTGATGCACGTGGTGGCGCGTGGTGGCTCCAGCATCTGGGGACCCCAGATTCGAAGGTAAAATCATTTCCCTTTTGTTTCGTAGCATTTCGATTATTACTCATCTTTAATGACATGCGTATTCTGGTTGTGAACGAGGAAAACATTGGAGTGATAGTAGGGAGGTGGAGAGAATCGTAACCCAATACCATTTTGGGTTATCGCGTTGATAATTGTGGGGTTCATGTCAAGCCAATCGCTTCCTACGGAGAAACAAGGTGCATTTCTTTCGGGAATCTTGAACCCATTGAAGGTAAATTTTGAAAACTCATATATTCATGTTAATTCATTAAGTTAGATTTAGGATTAATTTTAAGTAAGTTGAGTAATTAGACTTAGAAATCTAGGTGAGTTATTAGTAATTATAAAGTTATTTTGATAAAAAGAAAGGTATCTAATAATCGATATATAGCTTCACGTAGGCCATGAAATTTGGGAGAGCGTAAAGGAGCGTAAATCGATGCCTTAGTCGTCCGAGAAAGTAAGTATATCTAGTAGCTATTTCAAAACCACATTCGCATGTTTTCAAAAATGTTTTCAAGCAAAAACCTAATTAAGTTTTAAGTAAGATTTATAAAATTGAGGAATTAGGATTGATAATCGAGTAAGTGAAAGAAATTGAAAATTTGTGATACTGAATATTTTAATTTTTCATTTGTTTGTTGCTTAATTTGTAACGACCCCGGAAATTAAAAGAAAATGTATAAATTTATTCTAAATGCGGAAGTGAAATAAAATAGATTATGATTAACATCCTTTACACAATAACCAAAACAAATTAAACGTATGAAAGAATAAACTAACTAAAGGAAATACTATGAATGAATACTATAAGGAAAACTAATAAATTCTTAGGCTTCTACTCGCCGTCTTCCTGCAGAACGAGCTCGGGAATCAAGTCCTCTTGATCTGAACTGGTTAAGTAAGGAATGAGCTACACTAGTCCAGTAAAGATATCACATTATCTCACTGCCACAGAAGTAAAGGTTGGTAGAAAACAAAAACAACCAATTGAGCATAATTTATAACAAACTCATTTATCAATAATAAAAACCTTTATTGTCCACTTACCTCAGTGAGATTCATGAAAACAACTTATAAGAAACAATAACATCATAAATATCATGAATTCATACATAATCTGTATCATAGTACATGTCATACTTTTGTATTTCAATCATCAGGCAACAAATTTCCTCTTTTATCAGCCTATTAGTATCCATGAGGATCCATAGGGAGTCCCCGCTACACGTGAACCATTCACATTAATAACTTAATTCCAGGGCCGTCCCCATACCCCGTCCGGTATGGGTGTCAAAACCATAAACCTCAATACCCCGTCCGATATGAAGGTGAAACGGGCCGTCCCCATACCCCGTCTAGTATGGGCGCCAAAACACATAAAGTCTCCATACCCTGTCCGATATGAAAGACCACGTTCCTGGTAGGGTTCCCTATGGACTCGTTCCGTCCACCATCTCCTAGGATATCTAGTTAGGCTGTCGACATTATCCATTTATCAATTGACATACATTTTTCTATTTTTTCTTAATCTCAATTTTTCAATCAAACATAAACACGTAAACTAGTAATTGACACCAAATAAGCCAACACAACATCGGGTTCACAATAATTCAAAACATAATAAATGAAACCGTGATTCATGCATACAAAATCATATAATAAACACATCAGGTATCATACTGTATTCAAAACTGTAAAATAAATCAAACAACACTTGACCGAAAAATACATCAGTTTCGGGCTACATTAGCAATGTTAATTAATTATACATATCTATTAATTCATAAAATACCATTTTATTATTTATTAAGCTTTAATGCCGTGATAGAAAATAGGTGAGGGATCCTTACTTGTTTCAGAGTTTGAAATCGCGTTCTCACTGCGTTTATGGGCAGTCCCTAGATTCCATAAATTTTTCCCCAGAAATTGAAACACACTTCCGGTACCTGTACCTATCCCCAAAAAACCCCAAATCAGACCCAGGGCACTTTCAGCCAATTTCAGAATTCCGGCACAGAGGCTCCGTCGTGCTCCGGCGACGGCACCGCCGCCCACGGCGGAAATCCGCCTCGGGTTGGCCGTTTTCAGCCGTTTTCAGTCGAATTCGGCCAAACTTGCATTGGTTCCTGTGATAAAACACCCCTAGGGCCCTCGGTGGGCCAAAAAATTCCAGAAAACCGAGACTTACTGGCGGCGAAGCTCTCGGGTACGGTGGCTCCTCCGGTGCGAGTTGCGATTTGGTGTTTTACTCTGATCAAACTATAGAGAAAAGGACGGTGATCATAGTGGTATAAAAATTACATCGAACGGGAACCGGGAAGGACCTCATCAGAGGCAAAAACTGAGAAAACCCGCGGCAGCGCTACTGGACTTCGACGGTGTTTTTCGGCCAATCGGCCGGTGGTTTGGCTTCAATTTTGCCACAGGGAGGTTCAGCATCAAAAAATGAGCCAAAGAGAGAAATTTTACCTCGTTTGGCGGCTGAAAAATCCTCCGATGCGGCGGCGGGTGGTGGCGGTCGCCGGTTCCTCCGGTGGCTGGGTCGTCTTCTCCGACGAGAGTTCTGGCAGCTAGGGTTTGGGTTTGGGTGTGGATGCGATTATTTATAACCATCTCCTTTTGATCTGAGCCGTCCATCGTGATTTAATATGGGTCGTCCATCGCGATGCGATCTGGACCGTCCGTACGTGATCAAATATGGGTCGTCCGTACGCATGAGATCTGGGCTGTCCATGCGCACTTTTGATCTGGGTTGTCCGCGCGCGCGGGAACGGATCTAGGCCATCCGATCGCGCGCACGCAGATCGCCCACTTTTCTCTGTTCCGCGTGGCTTCCTGCATCACCGTCCCTGCCACGCGGCGTGTCCTGGTTCTCCGGGGTTACTGACCGGGCTGCTGACGTGGCTGCTGACGTGACATTATTTTTTTAAATTGCGTTTTGACTCCCAGTTTTCGATTTTCTTTTCAAAAATACCCCCATAATCCAAATTTTCACCCATTTTTTTCAAAATCAATTTCAATTAAATCCCAAAAATAATTTTACCCCATTTTATTATTATTATTATTTTTATTTCTATTAAATTAAATTAAATTAAATTAAATTAAAACCTTATGAATTAATTATTAAAATAAAATAAAATTAAAAAAAATTCTCATAAAAATTAAAATAAAATTAAAATAAAATAAAAGAAAAAATTTTGGGTGTTAGTAATTATTGAATGAAGATTGCATATTTTAAATACTGTATGGTTGATTGTTAAAAGTATGATGAGTTAAATAGTCTGAGTCAAAAATTAATAATAGTGCAAATTCACCAATAAAATCATGACCACATAAAATAACTCTCACAAATAAAATAAGATCAACAAAAAGAAATACATGTTCTTAGATCAAATTAGAGATTCTAAATAAAACTAATAAAATTAAAAACTAAAAATAATAAAAACATTAAAACATGAATGATAAACAAAATGATAACTAAATAAATTACAATAAACAAGTAAGTGTATGATTAAGGGGAATTAATAGAAAAAAGACAAATTGAGAGAATTAGAATGGTGTGAGATATAGAGTAAGGTTAACTAAGACAGTGTACAAAGTCTCTAGAGAATAAAATTAGTTTGTTAGAAAAAATAAATAAATAATATCAATCTTACTAGAATAGGAAGAAAAACAAAATAAAACAAAAACTTGGAAGAAGCAAAAATTTAGATATAACTCTTTTAAGATTTGTGTTACTGAAAACTCAGCGGTGTGGTGAACCCTATCCTTGGGTAGATGGAAATTATTTCAGACGTGATTGGGGTGTATGTTATGTTCTAGGTCACTTAGTGACGGACTGTTGTGACCGTTGTGTGTGTTTTGATTGTGTGTGCATCCCTTTGTGATAGTGGGAATTCTGATCCCACAATGGTATAAATTGAATAACAGATATAGTCATTCAATCTAAAAAGATATATAAAACTTTAATAACTTTAATTTGATTATTTGTGTTAGGGCAAATTGAGAATTGGGAACACCCGCTGAAAGGTCACAGATGTCTCAATTTGGCTAAAAATTTGTAAGAAATTCTGATATGTGGATTTATGAGATAAATATGGATTAGAGAGAAACTAATGGATGAGTATGGTTTTGGAACTAGATGTGATGTGATAATAGTGTGCGATATGAATGGTTACAATTAGGGAATTAAGAAAGGAAAGAAATTAGGGGGATGATGAGAAAATAATGAGAAAGATGAATTTTGAGAGATAACAAATAAAATAGTGAGAGGAAAAGAGTAGATAAAAAAGAAATTAGGGGGGAACAGTGAGAGATGAGATATGAAATAAATTATTTTGCATTTCACGGTTCTTAAATATAAAGGGAAAGAAAAGTTTTACATTTCTGATTGACTGTATGTAGACATATCGCATGCCTAGGGTGTAGTCTATTCGATATACTTACTGAACTCATGTTTTGCTCATTCCATTCAAATTCTAATATTTTTTAGATAAAATCAATATAGATAATTTATAGAGCCAAAACTAAAATTTCATGTTTAGTTTTCATCTGATGAGTTTTAGTCTCGTTGTGGACTCTACAATTTTCGGTAACCTCATGATGTAAATTATGTTACATGTTGTACAAGTGATTAAGAGCTTTTATTATACTTTTATTTTAAAATTTTATGTTATATCTTTTGGTTCAATTGTGTTTAGCTGCGTAGTTTCTCGTTGAAAAACTGCAGGCCGTCACAGTTATAACCCTACTAGTGTTTATCATGCTAGTGTTTCCTCAAACCAAATTTAACCATTAAATCTTTTTTCAATTTCTTAGATCCTTCAAATCCATCAAATCCCCATCCCGTTAATCCTCATTGTCTTATCTTTGAGCATGAGCTCAATTAAAATAAGTAGCGCAATAACAATAATCCCTTCCGGATGGATGCTAACTTGTTCTTCACCAATATTTACGTCTTAAGTGGCGTACAATGGTGCTGGCTATTCATTTTCACACATCCATTTGTAATCGTGCATCGACATTTTTGTTGTTGAGGGAGCTATTAGAGGAAACATGTAGCATTGGGAATAGAGGGGATTGAGAGAAAACTTAAAAAGAAGATGAATGTTTGAGAATTGAAGATCATATAACTAGTGGGGAAGTAAAAAAATCATTTTAGACTCAAAAATAATATGAAAAAATATGGAAGAAAAAAAAAGTATTAAAAAACTTATATAGTATTTAAGACATTATAGTTTACGTGGTTACCACATCATGCGATACGTCATTACTTACATATTATATTTTTAATATGATATCAGTTACGTGCTAAATTATTACCAGATCTTAAACGACAATTAAAGTTGATAGCAAAATAAGATAAAAAAAAATTATAAGTAGACAATTAAAATAGATCCAAAAAAAATAATACAATATAAATTAAAAAATATAAAAATTTATTGAGAATTTAAAAAAAAATAATAATAATGATGATAAAGGAAGCGACAAATTCCCTTATGTTCATGACTGACTGTGCATCTCAATTAACGGAAGTTGATGGGCCAACCGAATATCGTGTATTTGTATGCAAATATTACATCCAATCTGTTGGTCGGTCCACTTCGACTTAACAACATGAAATGAAAGCTGGACTTTGAATATAAATTCGGCTATATTTATTCATACAAATACACTACCACACGACACGTTTTTATGTATTTTATATATTGGTAAATTAAACATTTTTATGTAATGAAATTTATTAGTTGTTATCCGAAGACATTACATTTTTGTAGTTTCATACATATATACATATATATATATATGTACATATGATATTAAATTTATTATATTTCTCACTTATAATGATTAATGGGAAAGTTATTTGTAGATGGGTACATTGAACGAGTTAAATTTAAATTATTATGCACTATTGGGCAATATATAAATTTACCTTATTTTATTTTATTTTTTACATGTACCACATATCATTTATCCCATATCGAGTAATTTATAAACTATGATTATGTTTAAAATAAAATTAAAATTCTTTGTTACAATCTATTTAAAAACATATGTATAATTTAATTAGGCTTATATTTGGAATAAAGATAATGTTTTTAAAATATACAGTTTAATTAATTATCAGAGTATTTTATTTAGAAGATGGAGATATGTACTTGCATTTCCACATGTCACACAGCATGCCAGGCTGCCAAATTGGACATACATACTTTCTGTCGGTTCAAGACTTGGATTTTGCATTTACACATGACATACTTGACTCTCGACATGCACCATAGTTACTATAACATAATATATATACATATAATTATATTATCATTGCGTCCCAGTTAATATTCCACATTGGAAATTAATTATATATGTCTTTTGTAGGAAATTGTGATAAAATAATTCATCGTGTTCAAAATTTTCAAAATATTATTAACATTATTTGCAAAAATTTGATTTACATTATTTCTTTATTAATTATCATATTATATATTAAGAGGAAATTATCATTATTTAATTTTGAAATAAGATCAACTTTAAATTATTTAATTTTTTAAGGTATGATAATATTTCCACTTAAACTTGAAATAATTAAACTTTGACTTTTTGTGACATTTTTTTTTTTTGGTTATTTTATACATACATATATATATATATATATATTGGATGATTGGTACCAACAACAAATATATACATATATACTTTAATTTATTATTTTTTTAATCTAATGCCAGATGAGAAACAATGGATCGCCAAACATATATATATATATATATATAATATATATATATATTATCAACAAGTAATTATTTGACAGAACAGCTATAAGAAACTAAACCTACCTACTTCTTGAATAATAATCTATTCTATACCTCCTCTCTTCAGCCCAAGTTTTCTATATATGCATATATATATATATATATTTGCATTAATTACCTAACCCATCAATGTTATATGGATTTTATAAAAAATTAACAGGTTAGATTAAGTTTACAATTCATATATATGATCTTCAAAAAAAAAAAAAAAACTCAGTAAATGCCAATTAAGTTTTATACAATATTTTTTTTTTAATGAAAATAAGTATATAATTAATTATTAACCATGTGTAGTTCGAATTTTCTTCTCATTTGAATTAAAATTAACAAAACAAAATATTAATAATTAATTTTGTGGATTAATAGCGTTTGTCTTCATGTCTTTATACAGTATATATCTCAGCAGCCAGCTCATTCCAGCCAATCCCCCATACCCCATCTTATCCCATAAAATCCCCCTTCACTAATCTCATTATCACCATCACCACAAAGCAAAACAAAACAAAACAATGGCCGCCGCCGCCGCCGCCGCCGCCGCTAATCTCCTCACTCTAACCTCATTCCTCCTCCTAATCTCCACCGGAACCCTAGCCCAAACCTCTTCTGCCCCCGCCCCCGGCCCCGCCGGCCCCGTCAATCTCACCGGAATCCTTGAAAAAGCCGGCCAGTTCACCACCTTCATTATGCTCCTCAACACCACCCAAGTCGACTCCCAAATCCGAAACCAACTCAACAGCTCCACCGAGGGAATGACCGTCTTCGCCCCAACCGACAATGCCTTTCGCAACCTCAAAGCCGGCACCATAAACAACCTCGACACTCAAAAGAAAGTGCAGCTCGTGCTTTATCACGTATTACCCAAGTTCTACTCCTTGAGCGATCTGCTATTGGTTAGCAACCCTGTTAGGACCCAGGCTACCGGCCAAGACGGTGGCGTTTTCGGGCTCAACTTCACAGGCCAAGGCAACCAAGTGAACGTGTCTACTGGGATCGTGGAGACGCAGATCAACAATGCACTGAGACAGCAATTTCCTTTGGCGGTTTACCAAGTGGACATGGTATTGTTGCCGGAGGAGCTCTCCGGTACCAAGAGTCCGTCGGCGTCTCCCACCGCCAAAGCGCCGTCGTCTGAGGACTCAAACTCGAAGGTGCCATCTGCCAAGGAACCATCTCCGGAAGATAATCGTGATGGGTCAGGTTCGAGTGGAAGGAGCTTGGGATTAGGGTTGGTTGTCGGCCTGGCGTCGCTTTGCATGGGGCTTCTCTCTTGATCATGAGCTGAGCGATACACTTTTGTTTTTCTTTTTTCTGTCACATTTTTAAATTTAAATTTAATTTTTTTTTTCTTACATGCATTCTTGTTATTTGTACGAAATTCTTTTTTTTCTGGGCTTCTATCCTTCTTAAACTTTCAGTAATTATGATAATTGATTATACGAGTATTTTCATAAGCTTTTAACTTCCATGTTAACACGCACGCACGCACACACAACACAGAGACACAGACATATAACACCCAATTTTTTAAATTAAAAAAAATAAGATTTGACTTTTAATCATAATTCTTAAAGCCTGATCAATGTTTAAAAAAACTGAGAGGTGGTGCTTATCAGAAAATACAAACCCTAGTGATATCCAGCTCATGATTTGTTGAGATTCAACTAAAGTGCCAAGTCTACTTCTAATAATAATTCAGTATTTACATATATATATATATTTTTTATGTATATACTTAATTAATAAAATATATCTATATATATATACATATATTTTTTACTTTTACATCTCTCTCTTTTTACTGCTTCTTTCTCCTCTCTCTCTCTCTCTCTCTCTGTGTCTTCTTTTTATATTTACTTTCCTCTCTTTTCTTTCTCATTCTGCTTCTTCCAAATTGTTCATACACCTATTATCTTCTACTATTCTTCTCCCTTCCCCACTTATTTCCAAATACATTTCACTAAATCCACCCATTCTCTTCCTTCTTTACCCCCATCTAGCTACTCAATTTTTTACCCATTTAACACAAACCCCTTACTATCATCATGAGTCCATCGCTGTGGTATCTTGTACCAACCATACAGCCTTCATACACACTACATATTAATTTGTATCTTCTGTTGGTTTTTGGAAATATTCATTTATAGGACTTTTTTTTTTTTTATTTTATGATTAAACTCTTTCTATGCACGCACAACATTAAACTTATATATTTTATATAACAATAATTTATTGAAATTTTCTTAACATGATTGGTAATCTTGTTATTTTTAAGATTCATTCCGTATTAATTCTTATAAAATATATATAATAAAGTGTTATCTACACTAATCCTACAGGAAATATAGAAATCTCATAATTTTTTTTTTGAATTGATAATTATTTTTTAATTATAAGTTTTGCATGCGTACACTACTAATACACATGGAATAAATTCAAAGTTATTTGTGGAGACACTACAAAATGGACTAGTTTAAAAATTTTGAATAGATCATTTGTGTTGGGGTTCCAAAGACTCTAAGGAATGGACCGATACGGACAATAGGAAGAATGTCCAAGTCAATGCAATGGCAATGAACATGCTTCGTTGCACTAAATTCGAAAAAGCAAAATTGCATTTTACGTGTGCAAGTACCAAAGAGATTTAGAAGGAATTTAAAGTAAAATGCGAAGGGATAATCTGGGTAAAAGAACAGTTTATTCTTTCTTCACTAAATATTGTTAACCCCAATCAATGCAACATGTAAAGTGAAATATCCACATCAAAAATTTTGGTTAAAGATACAAATTTGACTAAACCAAAGAAAAGTCCATAATTTGACCCTTTGAGAGTGCAAAAGGAAAAACAGAAACAAGCAATGGTTTTAAGCACTCACCAGATGCAAAAAGTTTGTAACTTGTTGGCAAACGTAGCTGAAGGTGAATTTCTTCTTGAAAAAACTAGAGAAGGTAGTGGGAATGATGAAAAGACAATGGTTGGAAGGATAAAGAATTAATTTTTTTTTTTTTTTTTTTCAAAAAAGGGAGAATGGTGGCCGTGATGATGATGAGGAGGGGGTAATCGCAAAAGTGATAAGAGATAAAGATCAGCATACTCCCCAAGATCAAAGATCTAAAGAAAAAAAATCCTACTTCTGTAAGTGAAAAGTTAGAATGATATTTTTGTAGTTGTACTTAATTTAAAGGGATATTCTTGTAATTTAATACATAACATACTCATTTGATCGCAACGAGCCGGAGATATGGTGATCGCCATCTTAAGTTCATCGGACCAAAAGCCCTTAACATATACCCATTACAGCCCAGGGCGCACGAGATAGCAAAACAAGCTGATGCAGGGATGATAGTCGAGTAACCGGGCTCCAGACAAGGAAAAAACTTGGAGACACGTGGAGTGTGTTCTTAGTTAGTAGCTGCTGCAAGTATTTTCCATTTTCTCTTTTGAAGCAGGCGGTTCAGTGATAGGTTGGATATTGGTGAAGGACCCGAATTTGCTGTCGCATTTTTTATTTCTCCGTCTATGTTTTTCGTTGCTGAATGAACTAACGATAAGACTCAAAATCCCTTTCTATGTATTCTGAGAACCCCATAGGTGATTTACTATTGATGGATGATCCGTGTCTATTTGCCTTTTTTTGTTTTTATTTGGAACATTTTCGGTTCTATTGCTTGTTTAATGTCATGAATTGAGTGAAGGCCTGGTATTGGGAAAAGAGACGTTAAATTTTAAGTTTGTATCTGAGCTGTTTGACAGAATGACTCAGTGAATTTTTCTCCGTCTTTCTCCGGGACCTGGCCAAGATTCAATTCCAAATAGTAGTATATAGTAGCTTTTTTCTCATAGATATTACATTTCTGAAGTTTTTTCATCACTGTTTGTATTGACCCGGAATTTACTGAAAAGATGTACGAATGTGTATCGTGCTTGATATTTGAACTTACTGCAGATGTAGGTGAGATGTGTGCATGTACCATATATGTTAATTCATTATTTGTTTTGAGATTATGATCTTTGGTTCGATTCAGGAGCCACTAAGTTTAGTCATCCAGAGTGTATAAACCTGAACAATTTATGTTTGCTTTCTTAATTTCTTTCAGTCTGATAATAATTTTGCTCGGGTCCACTCTCCACTTATTCAATCCACGTTCTGTTCAGGTTTATACATTGATTATTTGGCCCTTTTCTCGATAGACAAAATTGGGAAGTTTAGTTTGAAACAAATAACCAGGAGTTGATCCTGTGTTCAACGTAACCGGACTGTTGTTCTTCGATATAAGTAAAACGTCTAAGCCAGCCCTTTCGCTCCCAGCTTGGCTGTTACAGTCTCATGAAAAGATGTTGAGGCATTTTGTAGACAGAGTTACTGCAAAAACTATTATTCATTGTCTTCTACAATGCAATCAACAGGTAATCATTTCCACTTTCCTAATATGCCTTATCTATTTTTCTAGCTTACATCTCTTGGGTTTTGTAGAGAGGGATTCACAGTAGAAACAAGAAAGCAATGGAGTTAATAGCAAAAGGGTGGAGTGCTTTGAAGGAAGTTGACAGAGTCGTTGACTACTGTGAACTTAATGATAAACGCCTTATCCCTCTCCTTAGGGTATGCCTTGATTATACATACTCTTTTTTTTTTTTTTTTTCTGGAATTACTTTGATAATTTTTTCAGTCAGTTTCTTTTTTTGGCCATGAGTTATGTCTTTTTTGAGCTTGTTCAGTTTAATCCTGTGTGCTTCATAGTTTTGTCTAATATATGATTTTTATATAACCACATAATTGGGTTCTGGTTTAATGGTACTGGTTAGGACAAAGTATCATACTAAGTCTTCAGTTTTTAATGGCATATCTTAGTATCTGCTTCTGTTGGGGGCTTGGGGGGAAGTGACATGTTAGGTCTTCAGTTCTGATTGAAGTTTTGATGTCAGACAGCAAAGGAGAATTTTGAGTTGGCACTGGAGGCTGATAACTCAAATACACATGCCAGATATTGGCTATCAAAGTTGCATCTGAAATACCATGTGCCAGGGGCCTGCAAAGCTATGTAAGTGAGCCATTGACTTTGGGGATAAAAGTTGAGAATGTTGGGTACTAAATGCATCCCTCAAAAGGGAAGGGGAAAATGGTAAAGCTTGAAGTATTTGAAGATTACCAATTAGATTCAGCAAGTCTAAACAATTTGTCTGTATTATGTCGTCATTATTTTTTTTTTCTGGATTACACTAGAGGAGCTGCTTTATTGGTAGAAGCTGCAGATATGGGTGATGCTGATGCTCAGTATGAGTTGGGTTGTCGCTTAAGAGTTGAGGTTAGACTTTGTATTCTTTTTGTTTAACAATGCGAGAAAGAAAGTGATTAATTTTCGTGTCCTTTTTGATGTATCATATCATTGAAATCATGCTGAGTTTAATTTCTCCTCAATGGTAATATACGGCTGCTACTGTGTTATTATAGTTAAAGATAGTTATAATCTGGTATGGGGATTGATCCACTAGTTGAATTGCTATCCATGGGCGAAGTCTTTTATCTTGGGTTAATAACTATACTAATTTCAAGTTAAGAGGATTATATTTAATGAATTGGGTTCAATGAATAGGGTCTACTCTGCCTCTTCCACTCTTCTACCATTAGCAACACTTTTGCTTTGTTCGCGGAACTTACTCTGGAACCTGCTTACATGTTCTAGTGGAGTTCAATACCTTGTACTCTGCATTATACTATTGATATGGAGTTTAGTACCTTATACACTTAAGCATCTTAGTATTGGTTGAGCAAACTTTCAAAGCTACCATTACATAAGAATTTTTTTTTTGAAATGTTGGATGGGGGTTGAGGGAGGATTTTGCTTCTCAGTTAATCTAATGCTTCATTTTATTTTCTGGAATGTCATTTCTGATCCTAATTAATGATTTTTTGCTTTGAACAGAATGATTACGTCCAATCAGATCAACAAGCTTTTTATTATCTGGAGAAGGCTGTTGACCAGGTATATTTGATGAGGAAATTGCACATATTTGCAATTGTAAATTATGTATCAAGACCTTACAGGAGTTGATTATGATGTAGCTGCATCCAGGAGCTCTTTACCTTCTGGGTGCTGTGTATTTGACGGGAGATTGCGTGAAGAAAGACATTGCTTCAGCATTATGGTGCTTCCATAGGGCATCAGAGAAGGTAAAACAGGGACCTTCTGCAGTTTCATCTGGACTGTTCTGAAATTTTTAATTAATCAGATAGTACTTAAATCGAAATCAGTATTAAATTCTTGGTTTGTTTTTTAATTTTTTCAAACATTAGTTGTAGCCTACCTTGCTCAAGGGCATAGCTTCCGCTGGATGGTCTCATTTGTTAATTATGTCTATAAAGTCCCTTGAGCCACTAGATAAAGTGCCTTTACTGCCTTTTGAGTTTAGCTATGAATAGGGTTACTCCTCTCTCTCTCTTCAACCTTAAGATTTCACGTATATTCAAGCAATTTACCATTATATGCTTATTTCATCTTCTAGTTTTGACTGCATGCAGGGACATGCTGGTGCAGCTGTGGCATATGGATCTCTCCTTCTCAGAGGTTAGATGCTTTCACCATCCTGAAGTTTTCCTTACCATTGTTGCTACATTGGTCATTGTTATAGTATATCTGTCGATTAGAGACGAGATGTGTCACAGTGTAGGAAATTATTTTTGCATAATGCCCATAGGGTTCTCTATGAAATTGATAAGATTGTTTTAGCTGGTGGTCAAAGATTGTTAACTGATGATGGATGAGTACAAGCAGGCTCAGTTTCAGGAATTCAATTGCTCACTTCAGATATGAGATATTAATTTATTTACGAAGTTAGAAGATTAAAAATATCTATTTGCATGTGTCAATTTCAATAGCTCAAACATTCTAAATGGTGTCCTCATGTCATAGGCGAGCAAGTTCCAGAATGTTTAACGAAATTCAACTCGAAAAGGGGCGGTTCTGCCAGAAGAGCAAGGAAGAATAATGGAAGTCCTGTAATAGATCCAGTGGAGATGGCAAAGCAACAGTTCCAGATTGCAGCAGAAGCAGGATGTGACCTCGGATTAAAATGGTTGCAAAGGCTTGAGGAGGCAGAGGCACATCTCATGACTGGAAATAGTTCTACAGATCTACAGAGCTAACTTGGCTATGTTTGAGATTATTGGTAGAGTAGATAATGATAGCTTAACAAGCCTGACAATTGGAGAATTGTTTAATTGCTGTCGAAAAATCTTTAATGGAATAAGAAAGTGTATCATCCATGCATCACACCCATCAGAAACAAGTGATGCCCAGTCCTGACTGGTTCAGATTTTTTTTGTAACAGCTTTGACTAATGCTTATAATACAAGTGTCCATAAAGGAATTGGATGCCGAGAAGGTGTTATTCCGGGAAAGAAAATAAGAGGAAAAAAGATTTGTGTATTACATTTTCATTCAAATTTATTGGTTTTGGTAAATATACTCTGAAGACAGAAAGGTGGACGGTTTAGGTTTCAATGTTGTAAAAACAGAACACTCAATGATGTTTGAACCGCTGGGGTAAAATAGTTGATACTCAGGATCCCACATCGAAGGCGGACATGTTGGAAAATGTTGAGACTCTTGACGGGACCCAGGAAATGTTGGAAAATGTATATGAACATGTGAAAAGTATTGCCTTTTGTTTATGAGAAAAGACATTGGGTGAAGATTTGAAGCCGTAGAAAATATAATTAATAATATCAATTTAAAAATCAGAATTCATTTTGCTTTCTCAGAAATATTAATTAACATATAATCAATGCAAAACCACATGCAATATGTGTTTATATATATATATATATTAAATAAATTGAGCTATTTATTGATGCATTAACTGCAAAACAGAAGTAATGAAGCACAACGTTTCTCTGACCAAAATAAATAAATATAAATATATATATATGTATATATTATCGAATCACCTTCATATATTTTAATATTAAAATATCGAATCCAAAGACAACTCAAAGCTTCAAAGAAACCGACCAATCTATTTTTAAAAAAAAATAAAAAATAAAGAAAACATATACCGAAAGCAGAAGGAAATTAAGGGATTGAATTATTATCCCAACTTGTGAATAATAATAAAATAATACGGTGGCGTTTTAGAGGGCACGTGATGAGTAAATTACTAGAGTACAATCACGTGGAAATACGACGTCATGCCGACACCATCACGCGGAATTCCGGTTATAGTCGTAGATGACGTGGCCGGTACTGTTGAGCTGGCAACATGGTGGGATAGGAGGTGACGTCAGAGAGGAGAGTTGACGTAAGTGGGGATAACGTCAAAGTTGCTGTCTCTCTGACGTGGCCTTGGCGCACCGTCCCCGGAGGCGGCTCTTTTGTTTGCAGGCGAAGCAACGTTTTACTTTGTGCAAACAACCGCGTTAATTAGAAAATAATAATTTATAAATATAAGTTAAATATAAAATTTTGTTTATAAATTTATAATTACTTTTTAAATAATAAATGTGTTTTAGAAATTATAAATTATAAATTGAAGTAAGTAATTGTGCTAATTTGCAAAAAATTATAATCTTACTTTCTTAAACTGTTATTAATTGAAGAATTAAAAATGCGTAATATGTTTAATAAATAACATGAATGCTGTTTCAACTATCACCAATTAGGAATGTTTAGTTGCTTTGGAAATTACTCCACTACCACAATTTTCCAGCCATGCCTATATTCATAGAACTTACTACTATCAAAAGAAATATTATAAATGATATTTGATATAAAAATTATAAAAATTTCAGAAAATTCTAATCTCTCAATCATTTCCTAATCCCTTTTTCATATTTTTTGAAGACTCATTTTAAAATTTTTAAATAAAATTTAATATCATAGTTTATGTATAGAAATATTTTACCAAATAAATATGTAAGTCGTTTAATCAATATCATTATATAATTACCCTAGTGACAAATTAACTAAATTATTCAGTGGGTAACAAGTAAAGTTGTGACTTTGAGTTAAATTTTAATTTTTTAAAATATTATAAACTGTACTTATATTTTTAATTTTTTATAATTTAATTTAAAAACAAGGCATAAACAAAAAAAAAAAAAAAACAAGAACAAAATACTGAAATAAAATGACCATGTCTTGCCAAACTAATCAAAATTCTAGAAAGATGACAAGGAATTATTTATAAGTGCCAAAGCATGTGTGTATATATATATATATATATAATTGATTTTTAATATTTTAAAATATAGTTTTGATCATATTTTATTTGATAAAAAAAAAGTAATTTCATTATCAAAATATACATTGAATTGGAAATAGCCCAAAAGAAAAAAAAAAAAAAAAGAGGAATGAATACGATCAAAAACTTCCTCATCATTGTATATGTGTAAAACATCTTCAATGGAATTATAAAAATTAAAATCATAAGAAAACCTTAGA